GTGTTGAGGGGATGAGCACGCGGTTGTGCGAGCGACACCATTATTGTATTGCATGCACGCGTGAGGTGAGGGGTCGCATTCCCCGATGCATGGGAGGCTGGGGGTGAAATGGAGTGGTAATCGATGAGGCATGGGAGGCTGGGGGTGAAATGGAGTGGTAATCGATGAGGCAGAGAGGCACCGAGGGCCTAGACTGCATGCTCTTGCATTTGACAAGAAGTGCACGGACCACTAAAAAGCACAAACACGCACGTACACAATTGCACCCTCTACCACTTCTAAACAGTCCCCCCCGTCTCACGTGGAACAGCCCCAGCAGCTGCACCACGGGCCAGCTGCCCGCGGACATGTTCTTTGACAGCTCCTCCCAGGCCTCGTGGGAGATGAGCACCTGGCCGCCGTGGGCCGCCTCCCCGATGTCTTGGGCGTGCTGCAGGCAGACAGCGCGTGCATGCGTCGGGGCAAGGAGAAGGATGGAATGTTTTGATCGCTGTGGATTTCAAGGGCCGCAAAGAGGCCAAAAAGGTGGCGGTTTGCTGCGCTGGACGGAGCACGGGGATTCCTTGCGCCGCGCACCTGCATGCCGGGCCCCGCGAAGATCCTGTGGCGCGTGATGTGGTGCAGGCGGTGCACCACGGTGCCGCGGCGCGCCCAGTGGAGGCCCATGCGGACGCGCGGGCCCTGGAAGATCAGGACCCGCGTGTTGCTGTCGCCCCCTGGATTTGTAACGCGACGGGAGGATTCGCAACAACCAATACACGGTTGGAGGATGCCGCCGGCAGCCAGGGGTCATGCACGGCGGCCAGCTTGCAGGGCCGGCCACATGGGTTACGTTCCTCTGAGCGCACGGAGGCGAGCATCAAGAGATAGCAGTTTGTAGCAACTCTGAAGAGCCATGCCGGTGCGAGATGGACATACGTTGTGAGCGCACGCGCGAGAGAGATACAAGGGGCAGGGTGCCCCGGCAAGGTGCAAGGCGCGGCCTGTACACTTGTCACCGCACTCACTGGACACGGGCCTGCAGCTCCTCAGCCGCAGCACCCTGCGCGGCCAGCTGGTCTCCAGCAGGCGGTACTGCACCCCCAGGCAGAAGCTGGACGCCGCGTGGACTGCATTGTTGGCGGCGCCGGGCATGAAACCGCGGCGTTTGCAGGGGGATAAGGGGGCGCCAAGCAGCGGGGCTGCTGATGCTGGCAGGCCCGGGCTTGGCAGGCCCAAACGCCGCAAGGGCAGCCACCGGATGCGCTGTTGGCAGCAGATCAACGGGTGCAGTGCGCCGGCTATTGCCCTTTGCACTTTGCCCACCTGTGGTGAATGCGATGGTGAAGGAGTCGCCCTCTGTGATGATCTCGTAGCCGCCGTGCTTGGCGATGCCCTCCCGCATTATTGAGTCGTGGATCTCCTGCATCTGTGGGGCCGCGTCGGGTACGGCGCCAAAAAAGTGTGAGAACAAGCGGGGAGCGCATATTGGCAAGAGGAAGTTTTGCAGTAAGGTGAGCGGCACCGGCTGCCAGAAGGAGGGATTCAGGCCGGAATCGACTGGGAGCCAAAACTTTGTGTGCGGCTGCAGGCGCCCTTGCCCTTTGCCTGCAGACCTGCTGGAAGGCAATGGGGTCCTGCTGGCTGAGCTCTGTGCTGCTCTCAATGTCGGTCACAACGAATGCAAACTCTTCGGACTCCTTGAGCTGCTCGTAGGTGGAGCGCCTGGCGTGAAAATGGATGGTGGGTTGGTTTGTTGCTGTGTTAGTTGGCCAACAGGGCCGCCTTGGGCTTGAGACTGTTTCTGCATAGAACGGCCCCTGCGCGTGGATCTTCGGAAGATCTGCAGACTTGGATGGACATCTGCTACCAGACCCCCTGCGGCTGCACGGGCTGCAAGGACCGGATCAGACCCCGTCCTGCCCCTCCGTTCACTGTCTTGTCTCCCTGCGCGACAGCCCTGAATCTCAGCCCTGCACCTCAGCCCTATACCTCAGCCGGACACCTCAGCGTGCCCACCTGCCACCGCGCGCCGGCCTTGTAGTGAAGCTCCCACCCGCGGGCGGCCCCTGCCCACCGCATTCCGAGGGTCAGACGTTGGCGGCCGGAACAGCGTGTGCTGGCACTCGCGGGCAACAAGCCTACCACAGAGCCGCAGCCACTGATACACCAAGTGCCAGCCCTCTTATCTAGCCGCGATGCTTGCCCACACAGCCGCAGCCGCTTGCCGGGAGCGACATTGCCAAGCGTCCCGCGGCAGCCGCCGAGCCCGTGGCGCAATTCACCTGGTAATCATCGGCAGTTGACATCAGCGCGTCCATCAGCGACTGGATCTGCTTCGACGTCATGACCCGCTCCTTGTCGCGCCGCCGCTGCTGGTGCATCCGCGCGCGCGTGACGAGGATGGCCAGCCCGGCGCCGATGGCCAGGCAGGCGAGGCTGACGAGGACGGTGATGAGCGCCATGGTGCCCGCGTGGAGGGTCATGCCGCTGCAGAGCGTGCGCGCACGCGCCGGAGGAGTGAGTGTGCAGGGGGGTGGCGCCGCAAGAGTCAGCCGGTTGATTGGTGAAGGGAAGGGCAGGACTTGAATGACAAAATGGCTGGCCGACAGGACCCGCCTGCAAGGCGTTGGATGCCGCCCCTCTTACGAAATCTGCAGGTCATCGGCTGGCCTCAAGGCAACCAAGCGGCGACCAAACAGCTGGGGAGAAGTGATTAACTTTGCAAAGCCCTGAACCCAAGCCTTTGCGGACGCCGCATCATTGAGCTTTTTGGCTGGCACCACTGCTGGGGAGGCACAGCGCTGACCCAGATCCACTACAGGGGGGAGAGTTTGGAGCACTCACGAGGTCGTGTCAACCTTGATGGGCAGCCCTGAGACGCTGGTGTTGAGGCCGGCGCGGTTGACGGCTGTGACGGTGGCAAAGTACTGCACGCTGTCGTTCATGGTGCGCACCGGGTACTTGATCCTGCAGAACAGATCATTGGTTGTTGCGGGATGGATTTCGATCAAGTGTGGGCATGTGTGTGTATGTGTACGCGCGCGCGTGTGTAGGTGTACGCGTGTGTGTGTGTGTGTGTGTGTGTGTGTGTGTACGCGTGGGTGCGTGCACGCGTCAGTGTACACGATCAGGGTGAGACCAGCGCTGGATCACAACTCACACATGGTCGACCGGCCACCCAGCCCCGGCCCCCACAAAGCCTGCAGCTGCGCAGCCCTCTGACCACGCGCCTGTTCTTCAGCCCTACGCTGATCAGGTCCGACAAGTTATACAACTGCGTCGCGTTCGGCGCCACCACCAGCACGTCGGGGTCAACGCCAGCCACGCCGCTGCCGCTGCCGCTGCTGCCGTTGCCGCTGCCACTTGCAGCGCCCGGCTGGTCGGCGCCCTGGCTCCAAAACTGGACGTAGTAGCCGCTGATGTTTGACTGGGGGTCCGTGAAGTTGTCCCACGACGCACCCAGGTGGCGGACGCCGCTGGTCGTTGCCTGCTGCTGCCATTCGTCCCTGGCGCGGCGCAGATGGGGTGTGCGGCGGTCGGCATGCTGTGCGTCGTGTCTACACAACTGATACGGGTATGCTGCATCAAAGGGGCTCTGCGCAAAACATTTCTTGAATAAAATCCCTTCCTGATTCAACACTCAACGCAGTCATATCAAACCCATCGAGAGGTTTGATGGTGGAAGACGGGGCCTCACGTGTTGTAAACAGCCGCCGGCAGCGGCGGCGAGGTGTCCACGATGAAGTTCTGGCTGCTGACGTTGAACGACAGCCGGGGGCCGGCCCGGTTGGTGGCAACCACCGTTACGTAGTAGCTGAGGCCGTCCATCAGCGTGAGGCTCGTCATGTTGTGCGCCTGCCATGGGTTTGGGCGGGCCACGGCAGGGCCGAAATCGACGCAGCAGGAATAGATGGCGCAGGCAGGTTGGGAAGCTGAGGAGGCGCCGGCAGCACAGCGCTGGGGCTTGCTGAGTGAGGTTCAGGATGAAGGTTGAGCACAGCAGTAAACAGTGCAGATGTGGGCATGCACCTTTAACTTGACAGCTTGGTACTAGTGGTTACTGGGGTTCAGGGAGTCAATACCTACCACAGTGTAAAAGCGCGTGGAGTACTCTGTTGAGTCCCTCAGCCTCAGCTTCCTCACCACTTCCGTGCCTGCGGGCATCAGGCGGCAGGCACCAGGCGGTGTTTCCTAGGTCTCGCCTGGCGCGTGGGACACCCGAACCAGCAATTGCCGGGCAAAGGGGCAAAGGTCCCTGCTGCGCCCATGCAGCTGGCCCACGGAGTACTGCGCATCTCTCTTCTGTTGCACGTGAACGCGCATTTCGCATGCACACGCGCTTGATTGTGCATGCATGCATGTATGAGCGCATGCATGCAGGCGAGCATGCAACCACAAGCATGCATCTCAACATGCACGCGTATGACAACATGCACGCAGATGCGTCCGGGGGGCGCACCATCGTATGCCATGAGCGGCAGTACATCGGCCAGCCCCGGCGCCGACCCGATGCCCCACTGGTAGCTCAGCGGCCCAGAGTCGGCGTCGGTGAACCCCGTGAAATTGAACGTGATGAGCCGCACCGACGTGAACGGCGGCACGGCCACCCTGCACGGCGGGGTCCGGCGGTGCCGGCGGGCAAGTCAAGGGCCAGCTGGGGAATGATGGTGGCCGTGGGGTTGACCCGGAAGGGGCCTTCCCGGCATGGCGTGCAGTTTGCAGACGATGGGGCGATCGCTGGCCACTGCTGACTTCATGCAGCAGCTGACAGGGCGGACGAACCGGGCGCGGTGCGGCGCGCACCAGCAGCCAATGATGGGGTCGCACTGCGGCGGCGACGCGTCACAGAGGCCGCCGCTGTCGAGCGACATGTTGGCGGTGGGGATGAGGAACGTCCCGGCTATTGCGTCCGGACCGACGATGCCGCGCGCCTCGAGGCAAGTCGGGACGATGCCTGCAAGGGGCGGTGCAGCGGGCCGTGGCAGCCTGAGTCGGCGGGCTGCCTGCGGCGCACAGAGCCCGCCAAAACGCTGCTCCACAGGCCGACGACAGCCAGGCGACGGACGCCGCGCTCCTTTGTGCAAATCCTGTTGCCGCCTGTAAAGCTGGTCGTGCTGGGCTCGGCAGGCGGACGTCTCCGCACCCTTCCAGCCCTGCCCACCGCTCACCGCAAAGGTTTGCGTTCCCGTTGACCGAGTATGTGGCGTTGTTAGCGCACCAGTCCTCGGGCAGCGGGCCAGCCAGCTGGTTGCCACCAAGCCGCGCCCCCTTTAGGTCTGGCAGTGCACCTAGAAAGGCCGGCGGCGCGCCAGACAGTGCGTTGCCCCCGAGCGCCAGCCACTGGAGCCGCGTGAGCTGGGACAGCTCCTGCGGCACGGTGCCCCTGCGGCCATGATTTTGCAGGGATGGACAGGCATGAAGGTTGCCCATTGACGCGTGCTTGAATTGTGTAAGCAGCTCATAGAAGTGGCGCAGGCGGCACGCCTGATCCATGCATCCGCCGTGCCGCGCCATCACTCTAGTGCTACCAAACATGCAGGTGCACGTCCAACGGGCCGGCGCCGCAGCCCCGTTGCGTGAGTGCCGCCGCTGGCTGGCGACGCGCCACCACCCACGTGAGCTTGTTCTGAGACAGGTCGAGCAGCACCAGCTCCGACAGACCCCCCAGCCCCGCGCTGATGCTGCCTTGCAGCGGCTGCGCCCCGGTGGTGATCGAGCCCAGGTCCAGCGCCCGCACCCTTCGCGCGGCATGGGGGTTTGCATGGCGACTTGATCGCATGGCTGCATGCTCGTGTTGCGAGCAATTGCAGTCGCTTGAAATTACGAAGTCTGAGCGCTGATCATTGGTTGTGCTGGACACGCCGAGAGCCCAGCGTGCGACAGCAAGGCTGTCCATGCGCATGAGCGCGTGCGCAGAGCTGGTTGCCCCCACTCGCAGCAAAGCGGGGTCACCTTGTGTACGGCGCGGTCAGCGCGTCGTCAATGCATGCTGTCACGGCGATCGATCTGATCTGGCTGCACACGCAGATCACACCGGTCCACGCCGCCCCGCATGGGTCGGTGCCGTCGCCCCATGCAGGCAGCGCCGCGCCGGCATCGGCGAGCGACGCCTTGAACGACAGCAGCGCGACTGTGTCCGCCGGCAGAGTGGTGTTTGGCTGTGCGTGCATTGCTGGGACGTGCAACAGGAACAGCAGCAGGGCCAACCCTGCTGTCGTCGCAGTCACTGGCTGGACACGACGGGCGCCGCTGCCATGGCGACGGGCCTGCAGGGTGCCTGGTTCGATCCAGCGGTCCATGCTGCGCACTGTGGCTGTGTATGCTGCAAGCGCTTCCCCGCCTGCTCAGCTCAGCATCAGGCTTGTGGCGCCATGCTGCCAGCGACGTATGCGACGACACATCAAAGCGCGCAGCGCAGCGCTCGTCTGTGACCCTGGTGGCCACTGCACCGCAGGCTTCAACCCCGCTAGACCAATGAGCAACGTGTTGAATGGGATCACTACGTTCAGCGGCGAGGATGGCACACTGTTGTATGCCAGGGTGCGACGCGGCAATGATGCAGGTGTTCCTATGCCGATGCCCAGATGTCAGCATGTACTGCGCACGTATAATATCATTGGGAGCCAAAGAAATCGAAAAATCTTCGTGGCTCTCAGATCGGAGCACCCGCCATCACCTGCAGAGACACTGCAAAGCGGGGCGTTGACTCGGCTCTAAACACGGGCCTTTCACCTTTGCACGAACCCAACGAACATATTTTGGCAGCCAAAGGATATTTGCTCCGTGGAATATCGTCTGGTTGCTGCTTGATGAACCACAGGAAGCTGGGCGCCTGGCTGCCTCTATTGCCCTCGTCAAACCAGGCCTGATCGTGCCCTGGACCACGAATCAATGCCTGGTGCGGAATTGCCCCGCTCCTAGACGCGAGAGCGATGGGACGCGCGTCCTCTGTAGCGGTCGCAGCGACAACAGTCTTCCTTTTCTTACTGATCAGCTGCGCGAAAGGAATCACATCTCATGAAGAAGCCAGAGCGTCTCACTATTTGCAGCAGCGTCGCAAAAGCGCGGGCGCGAGCTTCACCGCGGCGAGGGCGAAGGCGGACGATGTGGCGGGCGACGCCAGCGCAGCTGCGGCGGCATCGATACAGCCGCTCTCACTGTCGTCGACGGCAGCTGCGGCGCGGAGAAGACCAGCCATCCCTCAGCGGCTCCGCGCTCATCCCCACTCGTCGAATGCGGTCGTCGGGGTAGTCCCCAGTCAGTTTGAAAATGGCGAGCCCCTGTCGTCAACCACCGCCGCCGTGGGTGCACCACGGCGCCTCTTGCAGCAGCAGGAGCAGCAGCAGGAACAGCGGCAGCAGCGGCAGCAGCAACAGCAGGAAGAGGACAATGAGGACGGTGCCGCCCCCAGCCCTGGAATAGGGTTGCTGCAGCAGCTTATGAAAATCCCTTTTATTGCAGCCCTCTCTCAGCTGGGCGGCGGCGGCGGCAGCAGCAGCAACACTGCGGCGACCAACCCCAACGGCGCAACCGCCGCCGCCGCGGCGCTCGGGCCACTCAGCGCCCTGCTGTCGTGGGCCGGCCCGCAC